ATATGTATATGTGTATGTGCGTGTATTTCAAAACATTTGTGGAAAATTCCTTTATCTCTTAATTCCATTTTCCTACAAACTTTTGGAAGTCCTCTTGAGTAAAGGCATATAATAAAAAACAACAGAAAAATTAAAACAAAACAACAAATATACACATAATTAAAAAACAAAGCAGGAGAAAGGAAAAAAGAGGAAATAAATAAAAAGTAATAAAATATTAGACTTAACTCTAAACAGATGGATATTACATTAAAATAGTCTAAACATAGCAATAAAAAAAGAGATTACTAGAATGGATTTTTAAAACCTATAAGCAATTATATGAGAGATTTACTTATATATAGGCTAAAAGGAAATGGATGAAAACATATTCAAGGAGAAAGCTGGAGTTGTTACAGTAAAAGTAAACTTCATAACAAAGACAATTAAAAGGGATGATGAGTGATATTACATAATGATAAACAAACCAATTAATCCAAAATGGTAATTGATCTAAATGTATATGTATCTAAAAACAGATCTCTAAAACACATGAAGTAAAAACTGAGGGGAGAAATAAACATATACACAATTATATTAAGACTTCAATACTCCGTTCTCAGTAATCAATATAACTAGTAGCAGAAAAATCTATCTGCAAGGCTATAGAAGAATAGGACACTACCAACAATCAACTAGCTCTGGTTTTATAAATCATTCCACCTAATAATACTAGAATCCTTATTTTTTTCAAATATACAAGGAACATACACCAAGAGGGCTCACAACCTGGTCATGAAACAAACCTGGACAAGTGACAACCCTAACAACAATTGAAATCAACAAAATATATCCTCAGATCGTAAAGTTAAGTTAGAAATCAGTAATAGGGCAATAACAGGAACATATCTAGCTACTGCACAGCATATATCTAAGTAATTCATGAGGAAGTCTCAAGGTAGATCAGAAAATGATGAAAACAGATGAAACCATTAAATGATTCCTTGAAAGGAGCAATAAAATTGATAAACCTCTAACAAGACTGACAAAGAAACAAAAAGAGGAGAATCAAATTATTAATATCACAAATGAAACAAGGAATATCTATAGAACCTGCAAAAGGCAACAGGATAACAAGAAATATAAACTCTACTCAGAAACATTCAGCAACTTCAATGAAATAGGTCATTTCTGCTCAAATCACAAACTGCTAAAACTTACCCAAGATGAAACAGACAATTTGAAAATTCCTGAATTATTAAAAAAGTTAAATTTGTAGTTAAAACCTTTTGAAAATGAAATCTGAAGCCCCATATGATTTCACTGGTGAACACTTAAAGAAGAAATACCACCAACCATATACAACCTGTGTTATGGGTTACAGGTGGGGCTGAAAATGGGAGGGTCAGCAGTTCAAACCCATTAGCTGCTCCACAGGAGAAAGATGAGGCTTTTTGCTCCCTAAAGGATTTACAACCTCAGAAACCCATAAGGGTTATTCAATTCTTAGGGTCACAATAATTCAGAATCCACTCAATGACAATGAGTCTGGATTTTTAAAAAATCATTTTATTGGGGCTCATACATTCATCACCATCCATACATACATCAATTGTGTAAAGCACACTTATACATTTGTTGCCCTCATCATTCTCAAAATTCGCTTTCCTCTTGGGTTCCTGGAATTAGC